CAAAATTCAATATGTCAGCTCTGGCGAAGCATTTATTCAAGATAGAGGAGTCAATCCACTACAGCATTTTTAAGCTGGTGCCCAGATCATCCATCCATGTGAACTGAAACATGCAATGGCTTGGAATATGTGATTTGCAGAAACAAGAAATATATTGTCAAGAAATCAACACACAATATTGATGAAAGGTCCTGCTAGTAGCCATGACAAATCCTCATAATACAAAAGAAAGATCCACTGAATTGGAGGTCAGATAGTTGATGTGTGCACCATTTAGTTTTTAGAAGTAGAACAACTCTGGCAGCCTGCCTTACCAAATATGGGCCAGCTGCAACCTAATATGGAAGGAGCGCATTATTCACACACCATCTGAAACTACGCACTGCACCGCGCTCATTGGCGATGCAACGCACCAACAAAACAAAGACATTGGGGGGATCCCAGAAAGGAATAGAATCATTTGGAATAGTTTTCTCAGTGATTGAAGAAGTTTTTGTGAACAGACCTCGGAAAGAGCTATTTGGTGCATGAATCTTTATACAAACCAGTTGCACAACATGCCATTTTGCATACATCAAGTTATATTTTTTCTTCTTCCCTCACAACTGCTTCCCCCACCTATCTGAATTGATTCTAAAGTATGTAGGCTATATTTGGGGAAAGTATGGGAGCATTTCAACAAGATTTAGATAGTGAAAGGAAATAAGAAAGAATGTGGTTTCATGTTTAGAGTCATATTTTCACCCTTTCAAGCTCCAGCTTCCCCAAACCATCAGAAAACTGCTTCAGAGCAGGGGATATATATTCTGCCATATGTTAACTATGTATAAGAAAGGCTCAGATGTTGAGATTTGGTAGCAAAGTATACAGAAAAGTCAACAATATCATGTTGCGAGATATTTCATGCATTCAACCTCATTTCTCCACCATGTGCCAAAATTCTTTTCCAAAGTAAACTTGAACCTATTTTACAACAGTTATAGTATGCTGGAAAGATGTATTGAGAAGCTATAACAGTACAGCTCATTTTTTTTCCCCACAACTCCGGCAGGGCATTTCATTGACTCCGTCGGGGCATGTAAAATTAAATATGTTGACTCCTGCAAAGCATTCAATACACTCCGATGGGGAATATAAAATTTGAATTGGGTGGGAGACAGTTGATTGAATTTCAT